TTAATTAGATCCATTTAGGATCTTATTAATTCTAATTTATAATTAAGATTTATGCATTAACTAGCACTTGGGCTACACGCAATAATTATTTAATAAAAGACATGAATTTATTCAGTCACTCAGTAACGTTCCTGCATGAGGCACGCTCACTTTCTACAAGAACAACATTCGCATAAATAATATATTTATTTTTGCACTGACAGACACTATGCAGGTTATCTCCACGCGGCTATTAATTATTACTTAAATATTGTCACTCACGAATGCTGGGCTCAAAATAATTTGGTAAACTCCCTTACTTCGACTGCTTCTGACGAGGATGTTGATGTAGTTCAGTTCCTAACGTGGGCGTTGATGTAGTTCTGCTCGTAACGTGGGCGTTGATGTAGTTCTGCTCCTAACGTGGGCGTTGATGTAGTTCTGCTCCTAACGTGGGCGTTGATGTAGTTCTGCTCCTAACGTGGGCGTTGATGTAGTTCTGCTCCTAACGTGGGCGTTGATGTAGTTCTGCTCCTAACGTGGGCGTTGATGTAGTTCTGCTCCTAACGTGGGCGTTGATGTAGTTCTGCTCCTAACGTGGGCGTTGATGTAGTTCTGCTCCTAACGTGAGCGTTGATGTAGTTCTGCTCCTAACGTGGGCGTTGATGTAGTTCTGCTCCTAACGTGGGCGTTGATGTAGTTCTGCTCCTAACGTGGGCGTTGATGTAGTTCTGCTCCTAACGTGGGCGTTGATGTAGTTCTGCTCCTAACGTGGGCGTTGATGTAGTTCTGCTCCTAACGTGGGCGTTGATGTAGTTCTGCTCCTAGCATGGGTGTTGATGTAGTTCTGCTCCTAACGTGGGCGTTGATGTAGTTCTGCTCCTAGCATGGGTGTTGATGTAGTTCTGCTCCTAACGTGGGCGTTGATGTAGTTCTGCTCCTAGCATGGGTGTTGATGTAGTTCTGCTCCTAACGTGGGCGTTTATACAAATATGTAGATCATTCATATTGTTTTGGAAGGAATCAGTAATTTACTTGCACTTTTATGCAAGGAACTGCTAGCTACAAACTGTAAAATGTCTAAATAATGAATTCAATGACAATGCACTTCAGTCATATTACCGCAGTTAGCTAAATGCAACGAAATCGTTTTCTGTCCACTTTGACACTTGAGTCAGTCTCCATTTTCTGTGAACAGTTTGTCTAAGAAAGGTATATATAGTCTTCTCTTTATACACACACATTATTCTATACACAATAATGTAATGTAATCTGTCTATAGTTCCTGAAATTATCCAGGTTAGAAGTGCTTGTTGTGTATTACTTGCACAGAAAGTTGTGTGTGGCCAACCCCCACCATAGCGCCATACCCGAGTCATAACACGTGTTGAGTTGTTGTTGTTGTTTTAGATTTAGCTACTCAGAACGAAATGTCCATGTAGCACGGGCTATAGTGAGCCCGTAATTGAGTTCGGTTATTCGCAATAAACTGGTTACTGTGATATTTGGTTCAGAGTTTTAAATGGAGGTGGGGTTTCCTCCTTTTCTCCTGATTCTTTTTCGCTTCTGTTTTATCGCACTGGTTTTAGTCTTGTTTTAATAACATTATCTTGGTGGCGAATGTCATGTGCACGAAAGCCAGGTGTTTATATACCTCCATACCTGACTCAAGACGTGTGTGAGAGCGTATATACTAGAAGAGCACACTGTGGAAGGTCAACATCCCAGCCAATAAGCACAGTCCAGCCCGTTCTCCTGATGTGCTACAACGTACAAGATACAGAGTTGTTGTTGTTATAGATTCAGCTACTGGAAACAAAAAGTTCGAAGTTGCACGGGCTATGGTGAACCCGTAGTGGAGCGAGGCTGTAACTTGAGATAGAGAGAACTAACCTAACCAGTAACGCATAAATCGAAGCCTCTTCCTTAACCTACCCAACTGTTCGCACAGAAAACGTGCACATTTGTGAGCCGCTACTCTTCAGAGTACTCTTGTAATTTGTACGATTGGGACCATTACGTCCACAATGAGACGTATTAATTGTGAGAGCGGGCTAGAAAACTGTCCCCAGTGGGTCATGGCTCAGTGGTTCATCATCTTCATTAATTTATTTATAGCCAAGATTTGCTACCGCTCTTATTCTCACACTCTTACAGTCTTTCTCTCACACTCTCGTTTTTTCTACTCTCTACCTCACTCTTTGTCTTACGCTCACGCACAGCATTAGTACACTCCGTGCTGTCCGGCGGCGTGTCTCCATAATCTATACAGTGGTCCTTATCAGTCCTGTGCAGGCTGCTGGTCCCCGGCGCGGGCGGCGTCGCCACTCTCCCGCCCTCATCAACCATTCACGATTAACGACCTACTGAGCTAAAGTTATCTTTACTCTTAACCCAGGCGGCCGATAACCCATCCCTGAGTGACACCCCCCACACACAGCACAGAGCACCAAATGCAATACGAGTCTATCGGCCACAATGTTATTTTTGTCTATCCAATTTCCCCCTAGCTTGCGTCTTCGTCGTCAGCCTGTCAGAGGCAGCTGACTTGAGTGACTCAGCCCTGACGGCAGTCCGACTCGGGAGTCGAGACTACAGCACAGAGACGGGTATGAGATGGTTTGGTGTTAAGTTTAATGTTTACATCAACCTCATTAAGGTCACCACACCTTACTGACCAACCAGTAAATATACTCATAAAATAATAGTTTAGTGTGTCGGGGGACAAGAAGCCCGAGTGTATTCATACACGTTTGGCTTTTATTGAGGGCCCATCTCCCCCCCCCCCAAGGCCGAATTACTGAACCCGCCCAGGATGCAACCCCACAACAAGCCGACTAGTTTCTGAATACCTACTCACTGCTAGGTTAAAGAAAATGTGCCCAACCATTTCTGTCCCGCCCGGGATTCGAAACCGGAATTCTCAATTCTCCATAATGGGTTATGAACGAACCCGACTGTACTCCCGGGACTCTCAGTGTAGGTACACACTGGTACACACATCATCTCAGTGTAGGTAAACCGAAAGTGTTGTACTTTTCCTGGAATTCCAGGAGGGGGTAGAATGGAGAAGAAAAGGGAAAATCAATACAAGAAATGATGGACTACGTAAAGAACAAACTAAAGAAGCTGAAGGGAGATATATATCGCCACTAGCAGTTCAGGAAAGTAAGACGAGCATTAGTCCAAGATTCAACAGTGTCCGGAGGCAAAAATAAGCAGCAAAAGGGCATGGAACAAATATAGAGAACACGTAACAGAAGGGAAATCACAGTGCGAACAAAGAGGCCAGAAATGAGTACAGAGAAACTGGCAGTGTGACAGAGAAGCAATATGAGAATAACATTGCATGGAAGGCTAATTCCGAGCCCGAACTGTTCCATAGCCATATCAGGAGGAAGATGACTGTGAATGATCAAATTATAAATTCTGAAAAAGTGAGGGAGGACACACAAAATGATAAGGAGGTATGAGAGAAACTTAAGAAAAGCTTTCAGGAAGTAATTAAGCTGTAACCCGAGTTGCCAATAGAGCTTATAAACCGAACAGGCAATGCCCCAGCAAAGCCTCGCCGAAATAAGTGTCACCAGAAGAAGTAAACAAACAACTGCAGGAATTGGATGCTACAGAAGCCGTGGGACCAGACAAAATATTGCATTTGATACTAAAAAAGAGGCATCTGAAGCATTGTGTAACCCACTTGCCATGATATTTAATTGGTCTCTAGAAACAGGAGAACTTCCGAACTGCTGAAAAATGCCTAATGTGGTGTCTAGCTACAAGAAAGGGAGAAGAGACAAACCACAGAACCATATCACTAACAGTATCTGGCAAGTTGCTAGAAAGACTGGTCCGAAGCATGCTAGTAGAACATTTAGACCAGATAAATTTTGTCTCAATTTTACATGCTGAAGCCACAAATCCCAAAACACTACCAAATTTCAAAATCTAGCTCAATAAAAATCATCAAAACAAGCCCTTTGACAATCCGCCGGCTTCCTGTCTGCATCAATATATATAGTGGCTCTTGGGTAAATTCATGTAAATATTACACCATTGTGATTTCTTGTACATTTGAAAGGACCATACGAGTAGACCTCCAATACCAACTCCAGAATGTATGCGGGTAATTTGTAAAAAATTGATTATCAATTCTATGCCTCAAGACCAGTAGTGGATTCAGTATTATCTCAGGTTAAATTACTTGTAGTGTATTGCAGTACAGTGCATTAAAACATACGTCTGGAGAGACCCAGAACACTGGTTCGAATCCTCTGTGCTCCATTGACTTTTGCATTATTATTATTATTATTATTATTATTATTATAGCTTTTTCTTTATATTATGGCATGTCTTGGCCGAGTTCTTTGTTTTATGACGGGACACCTTGGAACTTCCTAAAATTATATTTTGTACATTATTCGCTTCCTTCCCTGCACACACAACGTAACGGTCCCTATGATTCCCTAGTTTTAACTTGTAATAAAGTTGTTACATCTTGTTATAACGTTTTTATGACGTATTAAAACGTTGTTACAACTTGCTATATTGGTTGTTACAATCGTTAGGCGTTACAACTTGTCCGAACGTTGTAGCAACGTCGTTCGCTGGAAACAAACCGAAACTAACTATTTTCCGCTTGTTACAACTTGTAATAAAGTTGTTACATCTTGGCTTAACGTGTTTATGACGTATTAGAACGTTGTTACAACTTGCTATATTGGTTGTTATAACTGGTTAGGTGTTGTTCGACCGTTGTACCAACGTCGTAGTTTCGTCGTGTGTTCGGCGGAAAGATAAAACATACAGTCGTGTATGGAAAGATAAAACAAAATAGATTTATTTTCCAGTGTGGTGTGCTAGGACGTAACAGAAGTCATAAAACTTTTATAAAAAATTTATTAAATAATCTTATGGAATGTGCTGAAACTACATTAACAAAAAGATCAAATAATTTGAGAATCTTCTAAACTGGAATTTCATGGTATCACATTTTTTGTAAGGAGTACTTAGAATACTAAATAATTTAAGATTTATTATACAGTATATACTTGAAACTTATTTTACACGTCACTTTCAAAGGTCTTCTAACATATTTGTAAATATTCTACAAAAATAGACTTGCTTATTTAATTCATAAAGCTATTAACAATCGAGAACCAACAAAAAATATATATTAGGGATTTGTCCCTTTTGTCTGGAACCCGACCCATATTGCAAGGAACTCTACCCTTATTTCAGGTATCCACCTTAATTTTTTTGCAGGCACCATACCTTTATCTTTTAAGTAAATGATCCATATTTTTAGGCATCCAGCCCTAACTGGCACTTCAAGATATTGTCACAATACAAAGAACGTGTCTGGAGCTGTTATACGAGCCCCATCTGGCTGCTTTTTAATATGGATTATATTTAAAATTAAACTTAATGTCTGGACGGATAAGAATAATTTGCTACACTAAATTAAATGAGAGTAGATATAATCCATAGTTAACAGCACTCCAGACACTGAAAGTAACTCGCTGGTTATTGTTTTAACTCAAGCGTCTTTATACCCACACTGTGTTCTCGTCTAAAAGTGACATAGGTGCTCGATCACAACATGTTTGTACCGGTGCTACATACTATGGGGGAGAGGGCAAGATAAACAGGTTTTGGTGTGTTCTTCAAAACCGTATGATCATTTCTGACAGGTTTGGCTCTCCAAGAACACTTCAGGGCAAAAACAGCTTTATAAATCTAGAGTCATGGCCTTATATATCAACCACAAAATTATGTTTTTTATACAAAATAAACATGATGAATTGATCAGTAATGATTATTAAATGTCGTGCATTTTAAGACCAGCTGATTACTGTACACAACTTTCTCAAAATGCCCAGCTAAAAAAAATATTAAATGTAATATAAATTCAAGTAAAATTCATTGTAGAGATAAATTAGCTATGAAGATAAAATATATAAGGTTGCTATGTTTAATATAAAAAATACAAATAAAATATGCAGGCATAGAAATGCCCAAAATTAAACAAACGTACACGAACACAAGACGTCAACACTAACAAAGGATTGTCAATAAAAAATAGTACCAAAGACCTAGACCAGTATTTTGTCGTAGAATAAAAAAAAATATATATACACACGCATGAGCACATTCACGCGCACGCACAAGCGCGTGCACACATTCACGCACGCACGCACAACTTAAGTTCTATGCCAGTGCTGCTTCTCACGAGAAATCCGCTGCAGGGTTATCAATGCCTCTCAGGTCCTTCACATTTTTGGAGTCCTTGGTGTGTGGTGAATGTGAAGGAGCGTGAGGGGCGTCAGTGGCGCAGTAAGTGGTGGCGGGCGAGGCTGCACCGCGGCCCTCCGCTGGAGCATCATACAGCCACCAAGACACGAAGAAGAGCACCGTAGATAAAAACTTGAAGATGATCGAGATGCCCATCATGTATCTGCCAAAGGTAAGATCCAGTAAAGGAGACGGATGGTAACGTTTTTAACGAGTATGAGAGCCGTGTTATCCCCCATGCATCAGACTTCCGCAAGATTTGTCAGAAACCAGCAAACTGGCATGTGACATTACCCATGTGCTTAGAGGTGGTAAATACAAAGGGAGAGAGTAGGTGAATATGGGCATGGCACTTAACTGTGTTAATGAATAGCAGATGAATAATAAGTAGAGCTCTTAAATTCAAAGAGGCAAGAGATAGCATTAAAAGATTCATCAAGATACTGAGCAGCAGACGAAGCAGGAAGAGAACCGACCTTACTGATAAGCAGCTTGGACTGTATTTTGTTAGGACTGACATACATTTATCTGAATGTGCTTCTCAACCTGCTCTCGCACAAGACAGTACATATATGACATTGCCCAATGTTAATATTTGGCATATTAATAAGTACATATGTGGTATATTCCAAGTCATATTTTGTTTTCAAGGTATAAACTCTTCCTATAGATTTGCTATACACCAGTTTTAATATTAGGAATTTCTTTGTTGTATTAAACAATAGAGATTTTATACAAAATTGACAATATCCCGAGTTACTTTACAATTTAAATATTTAACTTTTGTTTTATTATTTTTATAAAACTGTCATATCAATATAGGTTAAGTGCTAAGTGTAATTAAGAAGCAATAAGATGCTTATCTTAACATACTAAGAAGGTTAGGTCGGTGTTTTCTATTCAGCTTTTCAGGGTAAACTCAAATATTCACAAAAAAATTGTATGCCACATATGCACTTATTAATAAGCCAAATATTGACTATAAGCAAGTGCCAACCGCAAGAAGTATTGTTCCCGTTGAACAATACACTTGACATGATCTTGCTGAAGAGACCGAAGCTCATGATACAGAAATGACAAATTAATCTTCCCATATAGAAGTGACATATATACACCAGCCCGTACAGAAATTATCTCACCTCAAACTGATGAGAATTCTGCTAAAGTTAAGCAGGAAAGGCCTTACATCAAGGGCTTGCACACACACACACACACACTCACCTGCTCATATAGAAATTGTCATAGCTTCTACAGGCACCGCCCTTGCCGCAAGTTGACTGCCACAGGATGCACGTGTTGTCAATGAGAGCACCAAAGAGGATTGGTCCCGGAATGGTGCCCAGTAGACGAACCACTATCCACTGGAGGCCCAGCGCAAACGAGCGGTGAGAGTCGGGCACACACCTGTAGCACAAGAGGACGGTGTTAGGTGTCCCAAACGTTACAGTATTTATCCCCTGTTCCTTCATCATTGAAAAAAGCCCCTCTCACTGTACTCTTATTAACTGCATAATAATGAACCAAACCATGCAATAAATTCCACAAGTATGGAAAATGCTCTTAATTATAAATATTACAATAATAATTTTTCTACAAAAATATTAGAGGGGTCTGAGGGACAATTTTTATAAAGAAAGGTAAGAAGTTGGGTTTTTCTAATGCATATATTCATCCCATCCTCCTGTTAAGGTAGTACATATAGTAACGCTGTGGACCATATAATGGCGTGATGGAAAGCAATCTTTACTATTGAATTTGGACAAACCAGGAAAGTTTTTGTACTGATGTTGCGGAAAAAAAACTTAACCTAACCTCCCTAGGCCTAATATATACTATCTGAGGCCTAATATAGTACATATATATTTGCTATACTAGGACTAAGAATACTTAAGTTTGGTATTTATCTATTTTCAGACTAACGTAAATAATACTAAATTCTATTATTCAATTGTCCAATACGTCTATGTATATACGATGGTCCACACAGTTACAAAAAGTATTATCTAAACAGGATAGTTTGGTGTATTTTACTTGAATATCCCCGAAGGCTACTATCTCCCTAGTGGCCTCGATGGGGACAGAAGTCTGGAATTTTGACAAAGGTACTGCCCAATGATCCTGAGAATTTTTTTCTATTTGGATTTTAAAATGAAGTGATAGTTTGTCATTTATAGCTATGGCAAGTGGGCAGTTCCATGGGTTTATAACCATGTGGTGAGCCTGAAGATGTTGCATCTGTATGCTTTTTAGACTTTTTAAAGAAGTAGTTTAGATAAACATCCTCAACTTGTTCAGTATTTTAAAGGTCTGGTTTGAAGCATTAGGCTTGTGGCCCTCACCCATTCCTGGTATGAGAGCTGACAGTTCTGGAATGATTTTTGTCACACTATTGAATTTCCTCCAAGGCACATATGTCTTTTTGAAGGAGTGGTCGATGATTGGATACAGTAGTCCAGATGGGGAACAAACACTTGTACAGTTGAATAACCACTTTCGTTTCCATGAAATTAAACGATCGTTTGACTATTCCTAAGGTTTGGTAGACTTCCAACCCCCCCCCCCCCCCCCCGTGAAGTTCCCACTTGTACAACAATTTTCAATTCCTGATGCATGAAAACTCATAGGTCCTTTCCTTCATCAATATCCTGTATAAGAGTGTTGTCGATATGATATTATTGTCCCTCTTCTACCTGCCCCCGCTTCCCACCTCTCCCCATTCTCTCCCAATATATATATTATATATATAAGCGCATGCAATATTTATTGTATGATCCATGCAGCATTTATATGACACATGCAATATTTATATACAGTATTGTATTCCACTCATTCGGTATGTTGGGGAAGTGATCTGTCACCCAGCAAGTACCCGAATACATGAAATCTCATCCCCAGGAAAATGCAGCATAACAGCATTTTTAGTGATGCATGGTACGTCTTTTTCCTAGGATTTTGCAACAGCATTTTGCTCCAGAATTGGTGTACATTTTACCTATAAACAAAAAATAATCCAACACTATCAATTTATCGTCTTGCCTAGTTCAGCTGGTGCTTGAATTACTCCTTCAATAAAACCTACACCTTTCTAGAGCAGAAATATCACTCGTAGTGGACGGATGTCAACAAGACTGTAAACACTTGCACCACACCTGAAAAACCTTAATGTTGATCTTTTCTACCTATAGATTTAACGAGCCTATCTTCTGTCTGCACTAAGGACTTCTTGCGTGATGTTAATCTTCACATGCGAGTGATCACTTATGATATGACTCATACCACTGAATGTCATATTTAACTTACTGGCTCATACCAGTGTCTCGTTCACGTGAAGCAGGTAACACACAAGTCACTCCTCCTGTGCAACAATTAATGTGTGTCACGTGATCCCTTGATTACATTAAGATGTGAACACTAAAGGGTGAAACACACTGGTCATGATGAAGAACTTGACACCAAAACAAATCATACATGTGAAAGCATAAAAACTTACCTCAAGGTACCTGAGAGAGCAGGTAAACTAATGATAAAAGTAAGAATCATCACAACGAAGAATATGACTAGGAAGATGGCCATGAGTGAACACCCTGCAGGACATTTCTCTCTGAGGGCGGAGTCAGGGGCCAGTCGTGCGTCCCCCACCCCGGCCCTGATGCTGGGGGCGGGGGGGACCTGGTGGGCGGGGGTCACGCCCGCCACACACACACATCCTGTGAACACCTGTGGACACACACACACAAGCACAAACTCAAAAAATTATAAAATAATGATATACAAATAAAATATAAAACAAAATGCAGGAGACACTGGATATCCTCCTAAGAAACCAAGACGCCAAAACAGTTTCCCGAGGAGGAAAGCAGAAGCTAAGCTCTTTTAGCGCGTGATTTCATAATAAAATTTATATATGAAAAAGCTGGCAAAATTCACAAGCCAAGACAAGCCATAAATACGCCTTGGATCAACACACGGGTTTAAGGTTCATGGCATCAGTGTTTGAGGATAAGTCTTGCACAGCAACTTAATAGCAAAAAGATTATGTACATTTCAGAACCCAACTTGAAATCAACTAATTTAAAACAACAAATTCCAATATATAGGTACATTATCAAACAAAAAATACAAAGTCAATGTCCATTTTTAACATTGTCCAAGTATAACTTGGTAAAATATTCACGACAAAAGTACACACGATGAACCTAATCCATGTTTACAAAGTGTCAGCTATGGTGAAAAGGACCTCAAGTCAAGTTCTGAGCCTACAATGTTTAATAGTTACTCGCTACTGTCCTAATTACTGAAGACAAAAAAAATTGGAACTAGTAACATTCGAGTCTTGTTGTTGGTTCTGCACTAGATTTGCATCAATATTTAGCTTCGTGCAGTCTCACAGCCAGTCAAGGAGCGGCTTTAGCATACAAATATGAGGCTCCGACTCCTAACAAACAAGCAAGGTCCGCTAGGAGTTCTCAGGTTGTACCTCAGGGTGGCCAGAAGGTACGGGATCTTGTCCATGATCATCAGGAAGAAGAAGGTGGAAAATCCGGTCATGACAGCAGGGAGGGTGCGGCACACTGAGGGACAGCCGAGGCCCACAGCTTGGTAGGGTGCTTCTGGGCCTCCATCACTCACGTCACTCCTTGTACTCACGTTGCTTAATCCCTCCAAGCACGTACACTCACTGTAATGCTGTACAACTCCCTACATTGTACACATTACCTAGCTTATTCATTTTCTAGTGCAGTAAATCTACCGTAATGCTGTGTCTTTCTACATTGTGTCAACTTCAGGTAATGCTGTACAATTCTGAACATTTTACAATGCATTCCGATTTTTCAATTGAATATACAACCTAGGGTAATTCTAGTCTAATTGGAATAGTGATGAAAACAAAGCACGAGGTTTTAACAAGACCTCTTTAGTGCTGCACTGAGACAAGTATGTGTGTACACGGCACCAATTTGACTTTAAATATAACAAAAAATTAAGCAACATTTACAGATGCGAAATTAGTGGTTATTTTTGCAGTCAAATCTTAAATGTGACTACTAGCCATTGCACTGCATCTTATTGTAAAGATAGAAAAACCCAGTTACAAGTTTCGAATGTCAATCTTAGTTACAATTTTTCAAATAATTTATAATTAATTTCATCTTTACCCGCACCATTTACTGCAGACTAAACAAATCTATTATGGTAATGTAATATGTGAAGCCACACATCTGTCATGGGAATTCAGTCACATGTATCATTCACTTAATATATTTGACTAAATGTATTAAGTGTATTTATTTATATTAAATATATAAATAAATAGACACAGGTGTTCCACAGTGCATTACACGCATGACTCTGCCAATTGCCTTATGCATAGTTACTGAATTTCCGTAAGCATTTTAATTCGCAGCATCACCATCAAATGTCTACTTGACTGCCTCATAGCAATCTAGTTTCTTGCCTCAGCATACATATGACAGTGGCACAGTGCCAAGATGCCATGCAACCTGCACTTCACGACCTGGTTACTCCTTCACGAGTCTTCATATTTGATGTGCAATGCCCGCTAGTTTGGAGAAATGTAAAAATAACACTACAGTCCTACAGAGGTATACGAGAACCAGTCTGGTGATGCTGTTAATGTGGACTATTGCATATAAAGTCACAATCCAGAGAAGGTGCCCCAAATGAATTTGGAAATTCATCCCATGTATCATAATACTGTGTCCATTATTTTTGTTTTACTTTTGGGAGTACATTGATATACATTAAATGAACAAATCCATAAGGGCCGTGACGAGGATTTGTTCATTTGATGCATCACGTTAGTGTGATTTCTGTGTGTATTGATATACATTGTATATCAATGATATACATTACAATGATTTACATTGATATACATTGTATTACCGTGTCTGACAACCTCATCACTAAAATGTCTCAAGACAGCAAATATACCTGTGTCACTCCTTATGGTTTTATGTCAATTGTCTGCATGCCTGCCTGATATGTATTCAGATACTCTTAAACAGAATTCAGCCAAACTTGGCAATATGGTGGAGGGCCTCCTAGGTGATGCTCCCACGAACAAGCGACATTCACCTCCAAACCCACAAGTTTTGGTTCTGGCGAGCCAGCCCTGTGTGCTCTGTTCAACCATATACAATGATGATTTTACAGTACTGCGTGTAGTTAAGGTGTTCACTTTTCAAAGTGAAGGAAAGACCCAATATGTGTAATTATTAAAATCCAAATTTTCGGATGTAAACTACATCCTTTCTCAAGGTGCTGTATACATTGTTCTGAGCAAGAATCTAGAAGCTGGAATCTAGAGCTCTATACTATCTCTATAGAATCTAGATTCTAAAGGAAAATAAATATTTTAGTAAAGTAGTTGAGATTAACATTAAAATTATTATTAAGGAAGGAAAACTAACTGATGTCAATAATTCACACAAGCACAGACCTTGTAGTGTCCAGAGTAGGGAAAATGATTGTGGGACTCCGCCCACAGTTCCCAGAAATCAGGATAATTGAGCATTCTTCAGAAACTTCCACATACTGTACCCTGGCAAGTCCCTGGGGGGAACATGATTACAACGACATGTGAATATTGATGCCAAGTGAGGCGCTCTCATAGACATATAAACGCAAGTTCCTAGAATCTTGTTCAGAACATTGTATAACGCACCTTGAGTAAGGATGTAGGTTACATCCGAAAATTTGGTTTTTAACACACTTGTACATATATTGGATCCTTGAGCAGTGGATGTCTTGTAAATGATGGATGGTCCTTTTTTACTCCTTGGTGGCCTGCTCGGTGTCCGAACCCAAGTTTTTTTTTCTGCTCTGCCTCTGAGCGTTGGCCCTGTGATGTGCTTTACTGGTTCGGCCTTGTACTCTGATCTTCACATCTGGCTTTTTGACGAGTGTTTGTCATGTCTATGGCATTCCGGTGGCTTGGTTGCTGGTGTCCTACCTGTGGTCTTCTTCAAGAGGCAGTATGAAGTGTCACAGCACTCTGTCATTTTCTTTCTCGTTATTGCTGTTCTTTCATTTCTGAGCAGGTAGTTCTCTACTTTTTGTTTTTTCCTTTTTCTTGATTGGTATCTTATGCCAGATACTGTCACCTCATATCGTGTGGAATTGTTGGAGCCACTGCAGCTGGTTTTCAGGGTCGCTCTGCTCCATTTTGCAAACTGTCTTATGCATTTCCCCTCCAGCTTGCTCATGGCCACCTGAGCCTGCTTGGTTCTTTGACAGTGTTCTTTCGTTTCTTTGATCCGCTCGCTTTACAAAGTCCCCTTCAGTCTGGGATTGTTTCTTAAGGGTTTTGTTCTTGGTTTCTGTTGCCTCCGGTTGTTGGGTGGGGAAGTTTCATGCTCTCCTCCGGCACTGGGCCTTTTGCTCTTTTTGGCCCTATTGGGCAATTTTTTTTGCTTGCAGCCGTCTCCTCTTCTGGCGAAGTACGACTTGGTTGGCTTCCGAAGAGGTCCTTTGATAAATGATGCTTGGTTGGTCTGGCCAGGGGTAAATCGTGTGTTGTGTCTGGTAAAGGCTTTTTCCTTGTATAATATTTAGAGTGTATAATATTTATTTATTTATTATGTGTATATATATATATATATATATATATATATATATATATATATATATATATATATATATATATATATATATATATATATATATATATATTATACACACGTGCACACGTGCACACAAGCATGCCTGTCCCCCAGAGCAGATACATCTGCTTCTTCATAGCACTGAATTTGTATCCCTTGGACTAGGAGACCAATCACTTATACAGTGGGTTGAGGGTCAATATCTTATTCAGTAAGGTAGCTCAATTTCCTGCATGCCATCATATTATTTTGTCTTCAGTTATAACTACATCAGTTAGGAGAATACACAAATCCTTATCTTAACGCTATTTGTGAATACAACATACAACAGAAAATATGTTACCTTAAGACCATCCTGCCCCTTCTCCATACCGGTGCAGCCGGCATGGCAAGGGGAGAAGTACATGACATTATTGGTGCCACAGATAGGGTCATAAGCCACGTCCTGGCACCCACAGTCAGTGTTGCACCACGATGTCAGGTTCGGCGAACTTGGTGTCACAGACCTTCCAAACAAACTACACATTAATCCAAATCGATTTTATAAAATTAGAAATGAGTTATGTATTGTTTATAGATGTATTTCTGTGGGGAGCCAGGACGTGGCTCCCCACAGGAGTTATCGGCTCCCTGGAGTTATCGGGCTAATATGTGATACATTAAACCGGGGCATTAGTATATGGAGTTCAGCCTATTAGGGATCACGAGCCAGAACCTGGCCCCCTCAGAAAGGTGCAGGGAGCAATGGCCGTGAAAAAACCCCTTGGTTGTGGGTTTTCCTTATCTACCATCGACCGGGATTAGGTACCCAGAAAGGTAGGCACAACAAAAACCCCACATAGAAAGAAAATTACAACTTAAAACAAATAAGAGGCAGAACTCCCTCTAATCCCAAGGAAACAAGCAAACGTCACACTCCACCGCTGCATCGTTACTCTGCGCAGCCCTTCCCTCCCCAAGAGAAAGGGGGAGCCTCGGACCTCCCCACGCCGGCTACCTAGCACTCCAGTTCATGTGCTAATGTGGTCCGGGGCGGATGTCTTCTCTGGCCTCGAATTCAAAGGCAGTGTTTTGCCTTCGTGGCAACCTCTGCTGTGTTGTGGGTGGGTGCCAGATGTCCTCAAGAGTACTGGGGCTGCATGCACTTATGGGCATCTTTCCCTAGTCGCCCTGTGAGTACTGCCCTTGCGTGTTAGGATTCTTTTCCCTGGTGCGTTTGGAAACTATTTCCGTAGGGGTTTTTGCTGCTCGGTATTTACCCCGCTCTTGGGGTTGCTTCCATGTCTCTCCCTCCAGAGGCATTGCTGAGGTTGAGGTCACGCCTTCGGCCGTTTCTGGGGGTGGGGGGTGTCCCGGGTCACTTAGCAGTTGCTTGAGCAGTTGTGCTGGAGTTTGAACTTCACTGTGCTAGTCTGCCCGCTGGGTCGGGTTTGGCTTTGGCGTCTATCTTGGTTCCTTCGAGGATGTCCCTTCTGCTTCTCTCGCGATCGCTGGGTTTGTCCTCCTTGGGCCTTGCATTGGTTGCTGCGCTGCCAGATTCCTCTTCGGGATTTTTGGGGTTCAGTGCCTTGGCGCCTACCTGAGCCCTCTGTCAATGCATTCATGGACGTCTCTCTCGACTGGGGCTTTATGACCAGTGCTCACCAGGCTGGCCAGGGACGATGGGGTCCATCCTTCTGTTAGGCTCACAGCACAGCGCAGGAGTTCGCAATGGTTTGGTTGTCGCTTTGGAAGGTTTTGGTCTCTCCAGGTTCGACCATCTGGTTCTATTCGGACTGTTCTCTGGTGGTTCATTGCCTGACCTGCAGAGGGTTCCTTCGGTCCTTGCCTCTTTGGGGCTGGTCGCTACGAGTGGCTCGTCCGCTGGATTCTCGGGGTTTGACTCTCCATGCAGTTCATATCCGGGGAAGTGTACAACTTCCTAGTAGACGGCCTGTCTGTTCATTCCCGTCCACTGAATGGATGGTCGATGCCGACTCCTTCAGTTGGCTCTGCCGGACGTACAGAATCCTGGATGTGAACCTCTTCGCCTCAGTGTGGTCTCTGCATCTCTCAATCTATATGGCGCCCTTCCACGACTGCGAGGCTGTCGTGGTGGATGCCTTTTTGGCAGGACTGGTCGAAGTGTGGTTGCCTGTACCTCTTCCCCTAGGTCCAGCTGTTGCTTTGAATTCTGGCTCAGTTGGAGTCCAACCAAGGAAGAGTAGTCCTCATGGCCCCTTGTTGGCTGGCCCAGCTTTGGTTTCAGCCTCTGCTTGTTCGATGTGTGAACCTGAGGCGTTTTCCGTGGCTCCGCCTCTTCCAGCAGGTCGGTCCAGTCAAGTACACGACTGGTTTGGTCTTCTCCTCTGCTCTTAGCATCTGGCCTTTTTGACGCAGTTTTATCACAATTTGTATGGTGATCGCGTGGGTTCATTAATGGTGTCCCACCCGAGACCGTTGTCTTGGCGACTGTATGAAGTTTCCTGGCGTTCTTTCCACCATTTTCTCTCTTCGTAAGTTGTCTTCTGTTTCTGATTAGGTTGTCTTGTCTTTTCTGTCTTGGCTTTTTCAGGACTCATTTAATAACTATTACTGTCGCCTCGTATCGGGCTGCGCTAGAGGAGCCGCTCCAGCTTGCATTCATGGTGAATGTCTTCTGTTCCATTCTGTAAGCATTCTTGTGCCTTGTTTCCACCTCCGGCCTGCTTATGTGCCACCTGAGTCATCCTGGTCTTTAGACAGGGTGCTTTCCTATCTTTCCTCTCCTTGGTTTGTAGTGGCCCCTTCGGTTCAAGATTGTTTTTCCAAGACTCTCTTTCTGTTGGCATTGGCCTCTAAGGGCTGGGTCGGTGAGTTTCATGCTCTCCTCTGGCACAGGGGTTTCTGCCCTTTTGGTCTTGGTGGTCGGTTTGTTTGGTTGCAGCCGTCTCTTTTTCTGATGAAGAACGAGATGGCTGCTTTCCGGAGGGGTCCTTGGGGCATTGATGCTGGGTTGGTCAGGCCGGGGATGCATCATGTTTTGTGCCCGGTTGCGGCTCTTTACCATTATCTGTGCACTTCGGCTTCGGTGGCTGGGGATGCGCTTTGGGTTGATCCGGTTTCCCCTCGTTCCCTGTTCCAGGGCTCTGTTCTCCCAGGTCGTCCGCAGGGTTATTAATTCTATCCAGCCTGCGGTCTATCCTCATGCCCATGACATTAGGAAGTTTGCTGCATTGGTTACCGTGTTTGGCAACATATCCTGGGCTGATTTACGGGTACGGGTTGTTTGATGCAATTTTTCTACGTACTTTAATCACTCCAGTACATACTGGGAAAATAGACCCCATGAAGGGATTTTGAAGGTCGAACAGGGTCTTGGCCTCCCATTATTTAGTTAATGACCCTGCTCCTGGGCATTCCTGTGTTGCTTTGGGTCGCAGGTTGCAGCCAGTTGTCTCAACTTAGCGTTGAGGAGTGTGTGGCGGCCGCCTCCTGGGCAAGCCCCTCTTTTCCTTGTTTTTGGTTATGTAGCTCCAGAGAGCCATAGGGGCTCCCCACAGAAAACCCTTGTTGAATGTAATAAAACGCTATTTTCTGTGTGAGCTCCAGAGGCCCCCTGGCAACCTTCTCTCCCTCCCTCTGGTCGGCGGTTTGTCGCGTTGTTTGATGCTTAGCTTCCAAACTGGAGTGCTAGGTAGCCAGCACTCGGTGGTCTGAAACTCCCCCCTATTCCCGTCTCAGGGAGGAGAAGCCTGCACAGATGAGTGACGCGGCAGTAGAGTATGATATTTGCTTGTATCCTTGGGATTGGAGTGAGTTTTGTCTCTCTTTTTGGTTTTTAGTTTTAATTTTCTTACCATGTGGGGTTTGTTTGTTATGCCTACCTTTCTGGGTGCCTAACCCTGGTCGATGGCAGATAAGGAAAACCTCCAACCATGGGGTTTTCCAGGGCCATTGCTCCCCGCACCTCTCCGAGACCCCAGGTTCTGGCTCGTGGTCCCCTGTAGGCTTAACTCCACAGACTAATGCCCCGATCTAATGTATCACACATTAGCCCTATAACTCCAGGGTGCCCCCGGGGCTTCACCATTTTAAATGGGGGAGCCCCATTTAAAAAACCAGCGTTGAATTACATTCAATGCTGGTTTTTGTAATTGTCAAGTCTCACTTAGCATAGCACGGCATAGTAACCTGAATAACATCAATTCTTAATTTTTAGTGTAATCATCTATTTCCCCATGAAGGGAATACATTAGTTTACTTACAAATTCAGTATGGTAACATGTACAATTGCTGTACTGAATAATGAAATTTGCTTCTAAAAACATTACAAATCTAATTGATATAATACAATGGTTTTTCATTTATCAGGGAATATGTTGTCAAAAGCAATTTTTCTACGTACTTTAATCACTCCAGTACATACTGGGAATTTAGTTTGTATTCCAAATATACGAACAGAAATTGACAGGCATATTTCAGCCACAGAGCAAACTTACTTATTACTATAGTCAACATTGACCCCTGCGAAGTCAATGTTAGGGCACGAAATAACGAAGGTGAAGCAAGAAAGGAGGCAGATGAGAGAGAATATTATGCACATCTTGAGGATCCCGGAGCAGCGCAGCTGTAAACGCTTCACCAGCCACCCTCCGAGGAAGGTGCCGCCGCCGCCTGCCGGCACCACCACGAATCCTGCAGCAATATACAACCTCATAATCTTTGACACCTTCTCCCCTTGTGAGATGGAAACCAACGATGTGAACTATCTTTGTCAGGGGGGGTCTATTCATGCACACAACTATCTCAGTTTACACCGGAACGCCAAAGGTAACAACAGTGGACATTTGTCAAATAAGCAACTTATATACTGAGGAACTAAAATTATATAAATGTACATTACAAAGAATGTAAGTATAATAAATTGCATTGGTACCATCAAAATTATATCTTCTGTTTCTATTACAAAAAAAAATATCAAGTAAAACACAAAATAAGACTGAACATACTTACCAACAATCAAAGCAGCATAGCTCGCCGGAATGCTAAACTGATTTTCTATAAACTTGGGCATAAAAGTAGCAAACCCTGTGAGGAGAATGCCTTCCGTGGCCCCCGCCAGAGAGAGCGCCACAAAGGTTGGGTTACACGCCAGCACCCGAACCGCTTGAGGGAGGTCCTTCAACCGCCCAAACCCTCCTGACGCAGCCACTGAGGAGCTCCCAGTTCCATGGGCCTCAGACACTCTCTCCGCCTTGATTGCCTTTGCACCTGACAAAACCAAAATAGCAACTTTAATTAGTAATTTATATTACCAATGTGGCCCTAACCCGCAATTGTCCCAGACACGTTATTAATACTCGCACAGAGTTCTCCCATTGGCATTCTGGAGTACATGTTAGTAGCTGGAAGGAGCTAGACAGTGCATGTCTTTGAATATATACAAGGATTAGGCCTCAGGACCACAAGTGAATGCCTGGCGTCTTCTTTTGATACAGTCTGTGAATAAATGCACTTGAGGGAACGATGAATATGTTAAATGAGGAGAAATAAAGTAAAAAGAAAATAAGTTGGGTTTCGGTTTTCAAACACTAGTACAGTGCCACTGCGCACTATAATATAGTGTTCAGTGAGCTCTATAGTGAGAGTTATATTGTCTTGGTGAACATTCACTGTTCGTGCTGCTGGGATGAACATTGCCACTGAAAAGTGAACAAACAAATCTCCATGCAAATATTATTCTTACTTGTGCAGACGATGAGTTACTATTAGATTATATTAATATTAAACAAAATTATGTTCTAAAACAAAATGTAAAATAATGCTTTAAAGGAGAAGCTTGACTAAATATATGTGAGTATGTAACCTAAGAAGATATTTGATCAATCATCTTAAACATATAAACATCCAGATGTAATAGCTTCATAAGCAAATACACTCTAGAAAACGACATGACAACACAATTTTAGCTTTAAAGAAAAATAATCACCTGGGAGGTGGGATGGAAAACCCATGATGGGCCAGGATATGAGGATGGAGATTGTGCCCGACACCAGGAAGCCAATCCACCAGCCTCCCAGCCACAGGTCGCTGTTTACACGCAATCCAAATCTGCAAAAATCAAGAACATATCAACATTTGACAAAATATATGACAGAATATATGTATGTACTCAGTTGTGCTGGCGGGGGTTGAGCTTCTGCTCATTGGTCCGCCTCTCAATTGTCGATCAACTGGTGTACAATCAATTGGTACAGATTCCTGAGCCAGTTGGACTATCATATCTACATTTGAAAATGTGTATGGAGTCTGCCTCCATCATATTACTACTTAATGCATTCCATTTGTTAACTACCCTGATACTGAAAAAATTGTCTCTCCGAGGCTCATTTGGGTACTAGGTTTCCAACCATGTTCCCTTGTTCACATACCACCCATGCTAAATAGTAAATCCTTATCTACCCTATCAATTCCTATGTAAATTCTATAGGTGGTGATCGCATCTCACTTAAATATTATGTCTTCCAATGTCGTGAGGTTTAGTTCCAGTAATCTTTCTTCATAGTTCATACCCCTCAGCTCGGGGACTAACCTGGTGGCACACCTCTGCCACTAGGCTGTGTACACTCGCCTAGTTGTACTTGCAGGGGTTGAGCTCTGACTCTTTTTGGTCCCGCCTCTCAACTGTCAATCAAACCGTGTACAGATTCCTGAGCCTGTTGGGCTCTATCAAATCTACATTTGAAACTGTATGAAGTCTGCCTCCACCACATCACTACTTAATGCATTCCATTTATTAACTACCCTGACACTGAAAAAATTATTTATAATGTCTCTGTGGTTCATCTGGGTACTAAGTTTCCACCTGTGTCCCTTTGTTCGTGTTCCACCCGTGCTAAAGAGTTTGTCTTTGTCCACTCTGTCAATTCCCGAGAATTTTGTAGGTGGTTATCATGTCTCCTCTCACCCTTCTGTTTTCCACGGATGTGAGGTTCAGCTCCCTTAGCCTTTCCTCGTAGCTCATACCGCTCAGTTCCGGGACCAGTCTGGTGGCATACCTCTGAATCTTCTCTAACTTTGTCTTGTGTTTAACTAGGTATGGACTCCAGGCTGGAGCTGCATACTCTAGGAGTGGTCTTACATAAGTGGTATACAAGGTCCTGAACGATTTCTTACACAAGTTTCTAAAGGCAGTTCTTATGTTGGCCAGTCTAGCATATGCCGCTGATGATATCCTTTTGATGTGGGCCTCTGGGGACAGGATCAGTGTGATATCAACCCCCAGACCTTTCTATTTGACCCTTGCAGGATATCACCTTCCAGATGGTACATTGTATTCAGGCTTCTATTACCTTCGCCTAATTTCATTAATTTACTCTTTCCCGAGTTTAACTTTAGTAGCCATTTTCTAGAACATTCCACCAGTTTGTCCAGGTCGTCCTGTAGTCTGTGTATCTTCATCTGTTTTTATTCTTTTCTTAATTTTTTCATCAGCAGCAAACATTGAGAGGAATGAGTCTATACACTCTGGAAGGTCGTTTACATATACAGTATTGCAAAATCTTCCTTACATCCCCACTGGTAATCCTAAACTCCTCTAGTGATGAGGTGAGTGAGTGAGTGAGTGAGTGAGTGTGTGTGTGTGTGTGTGTGTGTGTGTGTGTGTGTGTGTGTGTGTGTGTGTGTGTGTGTGTGTACTATTTGTACCTGCAGGATCCCACTGTTAGCTCTTGGATCCTACCTTTCTAACCACCGACCTATTTTTCCTACATCAATGTGTTTTCAAGCGATGAAAAGTAACAACCAATATAATAAACACAATGACAAAACTTGAAGTAGCATCAACATACCTATCAGGATCGACGGACGGAGAGTCAATGTAGACTTTGAGGAACTGACCGCCCAGGAGGTAGCCGAGGGCCGGCCCCAGCACCGCCATGGCGTAGAAGATGCCTGTGTGTCAACAGCACGCCAAGGTTACCCATCAGGCAGTATGTATAGCATGTCCATCTCTGGTGCAACGCCCAGGGTTACAAAACTCAAAACATTCTAAAAAAATATTCTAATTCTTAAAATCTTTTTAAATTGTGAAGAGCGGAAATTACGTTATAAAGGACTTAACTCATTGTAAGACACCTGACAAAATATTAGCCGTTATATAACATTGATACAGAGTTATAAACAAATGTAACATGTAAACAAATATGATTGAATCAAGTCCGAGCCGAGAGCCTAAGAGTCGTCCTTTTACGCTGAACATCTAAGAACCAAGCCAGAGTTAACCCCACACCCCCTCCTCTTCCCCCAACACACACCGAGGTACATGGAGGACATCTTGACTGGCACAGACTCATCGAGGTAGGTGATGCCGAGTGTGTAGAGCGGGGTGGCGCCCACACCATGTAGGAATTGGCCCAGTACGAAGATGTGGCGGAAAGACGACAGCCAGTTCTCCACCGCCACACCACAGTGGGTCTCCCGGGTACCCTAGAACAGAGGCAAAATTTATCTTCAATGGAGAACAATAGGGAAGACTTTTGACAAGGTCCCAGCCACTAGAGTGACCCTCGGGTAAAATATTTTCCAAATAGTATTATTGGCCAGATATAATCAGATTATAGTGCATAAATAAATATTAGGCTTTAATTACTTTTTTAAAATTATCAAGTGTCAAGCTTGTAACAAATTTTAAAACTGCAAGTAACTGGATCTTTAAGTTAGCTGTGAATGAACTCCAATTTGTTATAAAACTGTAATAATTGTCATTTGCTTATCAATATACATACATCATAATTGTCAAATAATGAGAGAGTAACCACAGCTTCCACAAACTCTCTCACTTGTGCTACAGGACTGTGGTGAGGATGCTATGCTACACAGTGGTAAAGGACCCGCGCGGGGAGTGGCAGAGGACTCTCAGTGAGACGAAGACTTACCTCCCGCAGACAGAAGAGGATGGAGGTGAGATCGCTGCTGCTGGGGCTGTATGCTGGAGAGCCGAAGTGGGGAAGCGTGAAGACGAAGGAGCCGAGGCCGATGATGAAGACTCCCCAGCCTAGCCAGCGGGGCTTGGAGCTTCCTGGTCGCGACCCGAGGTACGACACCGGTATTGAACACAACACTGAAGCCATATCATACGCTCCAGCTATTAGGCCTGTTGGATAGTTTCAACGGCTGATTCAGTAATTACGTACCACAATATTGCAAAGCATTTCAGTAGAGCATAAGAAAATGTGCCATTTTTGGCCGTCCAGTCCTGCATTTTTCATAGCAAAAACATGTGAACTATTATGTAGGACTGGAAATGTAACCGAGTCAACTCAATTGACAATTAGATCAACCCAAAATATACGATGCATCCTTAATCGTCAAAATAATAATATATGATCTAATTTTATTTGTAATCTGAACACGTCTAGAGGTGTATGGACTGATCAGCCGTCCGGGGCGATGTCATCACTAACCGGGATGCGTGTGTATCATCCATCTCTGTTCATCTTACCTGAGTCAGTTGAGCGCAGATCAAATCTCTTCTCTATTGTAGTGATGCACACGTTCACAAAGCCGTTCACTACCATGCCTGCAAGGTCAACATGTATGTCAAACATTGCAATCTCCAGAAAACAATAACCATTATACACATTGTACTCTCAATTTGAGAAAATCTTTGGAGCAGGACGAGGATAGAACCTGCATCTTGAGTAAACCCAGACGCACCTTAACACATGAACCACAATATGCTGAAGAGTATATAACTGGATCTGCTGGGATCCACTAGGAGTCTGGAGGCATCGAGCGGGTAACCAACCCAAGGTTTACACATAACCTGCATACACTCTGGTGTAAGTAATGGCGTTCTCCACCAAATGTTACCTTCAAATTCACAAGAAGGGAGCATTTGGTGGAGAAGACCATTAGCAACACCTGAATATATGGGGGTTGGGTGTAAAACTTGGGTTGGCTACCAGCTCAGTGCCTTCGGACTCCTAGTGGATCCCAGGTTCTATCATCTTTAGCAAGTCGTGGTCCATTAATTAAGGCGTGTCTGAGGTTACTCAGGACGATGGTTCGATTCCTGTCCTGCTAAAAACATGTCCTCATAGATGCATCACGTTACTGTTTTTGTGCTGTCAATTTGTTTATTTAAAATCTCAAAACATGAATACATGGATGGAATCTAATACATGGATGGAACACACAGACTGTGTGTTCACCTCCCCCTCCACTCACTGTTTAATGATAGATTAATATTATCTCTCTCAAGGCTTCAGTAACAGGTCTAGGTTAAAGAGAGTTCATGGTTTCAAGGTTGAAAGAGTTGGAAGTTACAGGGAGGTCAAGTTCACAAAATTTATTTAACGGTTACAATTAAGTATTCTAGGGAAAAAGTGAGGCAGGAAGACTCTCACCTTGAGCGGCCGCTGCCCAACACAGCCAGAAGAGGACCCACTTGGCGGTGCGGGTCTTCTGCAGCTTCTCTGGCCGGAGGCACAACCACCCGCAGTCCCCGGTAACCTCCTCCTCTTCGTCCTCCAGCACCAGGTCCGCCCGCGACGACACGCCCACAGCCCCATCAGGATTGCTGCTGCTCGAGCTCTGCAAGGCCACACGAGTCGGTTATCAAGGGAACACAGACTTCACACAGACTGTGTGGAAGAATGGCTGCAGGAGAGCAGTGTCACAGACAATCGGCAACCGCCGACTAATATATAAAGCTGTCAATAACACAATGAAAAAGTTATTAAACGTTATTCATAATGCATGATCAAATCACGTGGAGGCGATCATGCCTTTTTGTCTATTGTCAACTGCTGTTTCAATTTCCATGTTTGTGTCTTCCAACATCCTCGTACGCTAAGAGGTTATCAACAATCTTCTGTTGCACCGCCAGAGATGCTATCTTAGCGCGCCTCAGTTCTCTGGGGTACAACACGGGTGCTCGTCGCATAACGGCAACTCCTGTTTGTTACGCAAATAACATCTGTTTTCCATCTTACCGACTGTGATGGAGAGAGACTTTGTTGGGTGGCAATATGCACTAAATTATACGTCTTAAAATAGCTCTCACTTTCAAATTCTGAGCTTCACTCCAAGTATGTTATTACTAGAGAAGCGTTGCATGTTATTACTAGAGAAGCGTTGCGTGTTATTACTAGAGAAGCGTTGCGTGTTATTACTAGAGAAGCGTTGCGTGTTATTACTAGAGAGGCGTTGCGTGTTATTACTAGAGAAGCGTTGCGTGTTATTACTAGAGAAGCGTTGCGTGTTATTACTAGAGAAGCGTTGCGTGTTATTACTAGAGAAGCGTTGCGTGTTATTACTAGAGAAGCGTTGCATGTTATTACTAGAGAAGCGTTGCGTGTTATTACTAGAGAAGCGTTGCGTGTTATTACTAGAGAAGCGTTGCGTGTTATTACTAGAGAAGCGTTGCGTGTTATTACTAGAGAAGCGTTGCGTGTTATTACTAGAGAAGCGTTGCATGTTATTACTAGAGAAGCGTTGCGTGTTATTACTAGAGAAGCGTTGCGTGTTATTACTAGAGAAGCGTTGCGTGTTATTGCTAGAGAAGCGTTGCGTGTTATTACTAGAGAAGCGTTGCATGTTATTACTAGAGAAGCGTTGCGTGTTATTACTAGAGAAGCGTTGCCTGTTATTACTAGAGAAGCGTTGCGTGTTATTACTAGAGAGGCGTTGCGTGTTATTACTAGAGAAGCGTTGCGTGTTATTACTAGAGAAGCGTTGCGTGTTATTACTAGAGAAGCGTTGCATGTTATTACTAGAGAAGCGTTGCGTGTTATTACTAGAGAAGCGTTGCGTGTTATTACTAGAGAAGCGTTGCGTGTTATTACTAGAGAAGCGTTGCGTGTTATTACTAGAGAAGCGTTGCGTGTTATTACTAGAGAAGCGTTGCGTGTTATTACTAGAGAAGCATTGCATGTTATTACAAGTTATGTTTAGAACTTAGGAAAAGAATACGGGATTCGTGTGTTTTTTTGGTCCATTTAAAAATGATTTCTATGATGTTATTGGTAAATTGTTTCGAACTTTTGCAACTGTTTCTAAACCAATTTTTTTACCTATTTTTCGAAATCTTAACTTAACAATTTGTGTTAACAGTTTCGTATTCTAACTTGGCTGATATTTTCAACACCCTATAAATATCTCCTTAGTTAAATCCCTTCAACCATGTGTTCACTTCAGTAAACACTCCCTCACTCTCAACTCGTATAGAAAATGCGAAATGAGTTTCCTTATGTTCTCGCCATAAGGGTAATGTCCTGGCCTAACCATCCGTCATGTTACCATATATAATTTGTTGAAGTCAACTTAACGAATAACTGAGCGCGCACACATCATTCTGATTCAATGTGTAATTGTTTTATTGTTCTTCATCTGAATCTGAAGAAATGGTTGGATAAGTTTTCTGGTAAAAAGAGGAAAACTTAAGAAGCGAATTCAAACCTTTATCTTGTAAGTGGTAGCGAGGAATCCATCGAGTGAGCGAGTGTCCACAGATGGCATGTTCGTGGGGCCCACAGCGTTGGGGATGAAGGTGTTGAGGAGAAGAGTAGCAGGGCTCTGAGCCAGGACCCGGCTCACGCTGGAGGTCCTCAGCACGCTGGTGGGCCGCGGCGGGAACTCTCTGCCGATCCAGTCATTGTGGGAGGAAGGGTGTATGACGGAACCCAAGCTAGGCAAGGTGATGAAGGTTGGGCTCGTTCTCTCCTCATACGGCTGTGATAAGTCCTCCGGCTGGTTGTACTGACCGAAGGGTTTGAGGGGCTTCAGGGTGGACGGCGTCCCGAGGCCGTTGTGGCTGATAATGAAAAGATTCCTTATTAAGGGGTCGAATGGTGGAGTACAGAGCATGATGGCACCTGTGGCTGCCATCTCTGAGTCTGGCTTCTCCATCAGGAACCAACTGCGGCTGCTCAGAGAGCTGGTAGGGGAGAATAGGGCGATGTCCATTTCCGACCTGGAGCCTGATATTGTCGATTCGTCTGGAATGTCTGCTTTAGTACTGGTGCAAGACGGAGTCGACGCCGGGTGAACGAAGGTGGAGACTGGAGAGAGATGGTTTTGAATGGAATGGTTCCTACCTTCTCCATCCACGTCTTCAGATCTAACCACGAGACCAAGCCTGGACACAGCATCCTCGACCTTGTCGCCGGCTCCATGATCTGGCTGGAAGTCCATATTTGTTTTCGCGAGGTGTTAGCCTGACGTCAACCCGCACAACTGTCCTTGTACATGGACGCTAAAAGTGTTTCCGTCCACACATCAACGTTATTACACACATTTTCAAGGACGCTACATAGTTCACATCCTTTAACGGTAAATAGTAAAATGATCGACGTCATTATCATGTCAACAATTTGCACTTTTAGAATCATCAGAAAGGATCTAACTCTCCTGAATGACTGCTGAAAATATCATTTATAATTCGTTTTGTCGGCGACAGGAAGCCTGTATGTATATACTTTAAACTTGTATCTGTGTCACACCAAGGTCGAATTACTTATCTTCCCCAGGATGCAATCCCACAACATTTCCTTAACTTAAGGGTAACCATTTACTGCTGGGTGAACAGAGGGATTAGGTGAATGGAGACGTGCCCAACCATTTCTCCCCGGGAATCGAACCCGGGATCCCCGATTGTGAGTTGAGAACGAGACCATGGGGTTGACCCAAATAGCAGTAATGGTTCACAAAGTGCCTCGACAATTTCATTATTCAACAGTGTACTGACACCCATTGTATGGATATGGTGTCTCCTCGTGCAATGTGGTGGTGTAGGATGGGGAGGCAGGAGTCGATTAGTTATTTGTACGTATTTGGAGCAGTGTGTGTGATGTCTTGGAGTGCACTTTTTAAAGTCTGTGCAGCAGACTGTCTACTGCCCAAGTGGTAGTGTGGTTAACTGTGTTAGTTACTGGGAAACAGCCTCCAGTTCATCAACGAATATTAACAGCTCGTTACTTAGTCTTTAGAAGTAGGCATCCACCAGTCTCGGGAGACTATAGAGTTGCACTCTGGTTGTTGGTCTGCAGTGGTCTCCAGACCTAGTCAGACCTAGTACACTTGTTTAAAGTAGTAATATGGGGTTCTCCAGCCGAAGCTGCAAGATAAACACCGACACACACACGTACGTGGATTTTAAAAAGAATATAACTTATACATCATGAACCCAACGGAGCCTTTGTTTTGCCGATAGGCTGAATCTTCACAACACTGGTCACACAGGGGCTCATTTTGTCCTTGAGGCGGTATCTGTAGTCTGAAATCCCGGATCCCGGGTTCGAATCCCGACCGAAACAATTTTTGGCCACGTTTTTTATATCCTAATGCATCTGTTCACCTGGCAATAAATAAGTATCCGAGGTTAGTCAAGTGTTATGGGGTTTAATTCTGGGAATAGTCAGTAACCCGACTTTGGGGGGGCGGAGGGGGTAGGGGTAGACCTCGATATACGCTTAATCTGTGAGTGAGTGAATGTGTGTAATATATAATTATATAAATATATATATTATATAAAATATAATTCAAATTATATATATAATATATATAGTTATATATATACATACAATTCAAATTATGAATTAAGGCTGAGCCGAAGCCTGTTTTTGGATCTTGTTATGTAATACTGTCTATGAGGCGTGTTGATTATTTGATTATTTGGGGCGCTAGAGAGGGGGGGGGTGGAGGCATGACGAGTTGTCACAGTTCTCAGACACGGTTGGGTCTGAATGGAGGTTATGTGTAACCCTCATTAGAAAGGATCGAGTTTAGGTGAGGAGAGAGTCGGGATTGTTGAGGATAACTTCTGAAGATGCGTTTGGTGTACAGAGGGAGAGAAAGGGCGCAAATGCTGTTTTCTCGTGGCTAAGCTTGTGGGGACTGTTTCACCTTACAGGCGAGGTGGTGGTCTATGGTCTGTGTGTGGGGGGCGGGGGGGGGAGGGAGTCGCTGTTGCTGCAGATACTAATGGCAGCAAGCAGTAGTAATCGATTTGACTGCGGGTGTGTTTTGTGTAGTGGGCGAGTTTTGTGGTCCATCCCCGAAAGTGGAGAGGATAGTCATGGTTTTAAGGTGTCCAGTAATAGATGGGCAGCTCGTTTTAGACTATGTATAAAAGGTAACCCTAACCCTGGCACCCAATCACACGTCACCCCCCCCCCCACCCCAAACACACACACACACGACGACGATCACTAAACCACCACAACAACGACGACAACCCAACAACCCACACAACCACGCCCCCAAACCACAGACCTTCCCCACCATTAGAGGCCGCGACCTCTACCCCAGCACCTCGAACACTGCCGTCTCCATATTAAAACCTCGGAAGTCAAAGTCAGAATTTACCCAAGGGCCACCATGTTTTTAGTAGCCTCAACGGGCACAGGAAGTGGGAGGCTTGTTTAAAGTCCCTTACATTTGTCCTAATGATTTTTTTCCAACTAGATTCCGAATTGCAGGAACGTTTTGGCATTTGAGGTTTCGGCAGGTAAGCGGCTCTATTCGTTTATATTCTTGTGGGTGAGAAAAAATCTCCTGTTTTCTGTCCTACATTGTGGCTTGTTGAGCTTGAC